ATCGAAAATGAGGTTTCTGAAATGAGTGTTCATTTTATTGCTTCCTTATAAAATGTGAAATTTAGCTATCTAATATCTAACAGTCGTTAAGAGTAGCTTTCGCTTTCCGCTAATTTACAACGAAATTGTTTAGTCGTTAATGAAGACGATATTTTTCTTTCGCGGTTACAAGTTGTGCTGACTACCACACCTGATAGTCAGCTACTAGGTGGGTCATGCAGAAGTGCAGCCATCAGCTAATTCTGTTTAAAATTTTTGGAATTACACTATACGTGGCATACATCGGCGTGCACCTCACACATTTTGATGTGCCCACACCAAAATATTATCTTTGTGTGTCGTTCGCAGGTTTACTACTCATTTTGCGGCTGTTCGCATCGAAGGGGGTAAATGTGGGGCAAATGTTTTGCTGAGCTAATTCGCGGTAAAACAAACACCGTCAATTGCGCCGATTCGAACCCGGAACCTCCGTTGTTCGAAGCCGACCTCTTTGTCACCTCTTTCACACGTTTAAGTGGAAACATAGCTATTCGACTTTAGCAACTGAAGACAGACAAATGGTACACGGATAAAAGAATATGTAAATTCCGTAATGACTTTTTATGACGTTTTTGTTACAAAGTCCAATATGTCGACTAATCTGTGTTACTCTTCTTCATATACAACAAGCAAAAATCACGCAGTAGCGTGCACAGGGCTGTACAAATGTGTTTGACGAAGCTGACTCGATGAAAATTTTCTTTTGTATTTAATCAGTTTTATTAAATGTCCACTTATCCATTAGACCGTTTACAATCCAGTGTTACGAAACGAGTTGCGTTAAGGAAAGTTAGCATTTCTTCGCTTAAAGCGCGAAAATGCTCCAAAAAAAGATAATTGAATTTTCTCTGGCATTCAGTTTGTGATATCACTTAGCAAATCCACAACATTTCTTCAAACACGCGAAATATGCCATTTGAAGATACCAGAAGCATCCATTGCATACTAAAAATTGTAGCAAACCATGCTAGTTAATTAATCCATAGCACATTCGCTGCGGAGCTTCACGAAAAACATGCCACTGACCTGCGTTCAATCTTTAATATTTTTCCAGCTTGTGGTTATTAGAGATTTATAGCTAATTTGAAAGCTTCGTCAATGCACGATTCATAATTTCGTTAGATAGAAGTAATGCACTCGAAGCATCTGAATGATTCAGCTAGTTGTTCATTACCCTTATGTAATAAGGCCGGTTGTCTTCAGCGACGTTCTTGGAAGTGCTAATACGGAATGATGCTCATTAAAACGATGCAACAAACCTGATCAAGTTAAGATTAAAGATCTATAAGACATTTAAATTAAACTTAAGTAGTTAATTTAAGGTTAATAAATAATTTTTCAACTAGTTTTACCTACAGTTTCGCAGTTGTGTTGAGCACTGTAGCTTTCCAGTTCTAACGTAACACAAAATTTGACTCCCTTTGGCTAAAAACTACAAAACG